CCTCGCCATAACGCACATTCAGTAACGAGCCATGGCTATAAAGTGGCCATTCACTGTGTGTTGTCCGGAGGGATCATGTCCCTTATTCTTTTGATTATTTCATTCTTTCCAAGGTGTTTCTCTCGTGGTAGTTCTTTCGTGTCTGAGTAAAAGCTGAAACTGGATATGCCTTTTAGAGATGGTTGACCCAAAATTGGATACCTGCTTCTCATCAACCCGTACAAAACAAACATGTTAATTAGTGAGCAGAGATTTTCTTTGATTTTAAAAGACAGGTGAGTGAGAATCACCTTTAAGTTTAAAAGCTCTTTGGGGACAGAATCTTCCTCTCATTCCACACCTAGTCCTCCAAGCCCAGAACCTGGTTACATGTGCTGGTCCTCGGTGTAAGTCTGCTCTTTTGCCTTCAGTGGCTTTCATTATTGTTTGGCTAGAAATGAAAGGTATTTTATTCATTCCTCCCTTCAACCAGAATTATGTGGAGCATAGCGAATGAGACAGACAAGGTCATTCATTCCCTCATGGAACTAACATCTTAATAAGAGAACAAGTAAAAGAAATACAAATAATTACAAGATACATGATTGTTTTGAAGGAAATAGAGGAGCAACCTTTCTAGATAAGACAGAAAAGGCTCCCTCACATCCTCTGTGGAGTTGACTTCTGAGCTAAAATGTGAAGAGTAAGAAATAACTGCACGTGAGCCGTCTAGGCAAAAGCATCACCAACTCTGTAGGCCCCTGAGGATGGAAAAAGTGTAGCCTGTTCGAGGATCAGAAATAAAGTATGGCTAGAGGGCCCTGACCAAAATAGGAGAGTAGTAGGTAATGAAATTGGACGGGGAAGTGGGGGCCAGAGATGTGGTGCCTTTATAGCCCCTGATGATTTGGACTTTATTTTGAGTGAAGAAAGAGACATAATAAAGGAGATATGATCTGATTTATTTCTGTGTTTTTAGGTATAATTGTTGCTGTAAGAGGATGATGACTTGGACTAAGGGAATGAAGGTGGAGACAGAAAACCGTGGTTGGATTTGAATAATACCAGTATGTTAGAGATGAGGTCAATAGGATTGTTGAGGTTTGGATTAAACAGCAACGCAGTAAGGTAATGGGAAAGATCAGACACATTTCTGAGGTCAAGAGGACTGAGAAGTAAGGTGAAGAGGTTTGGGGATGAGGGAGAGCTGGTATTTAAGAATTTGGTTGAGAATGTAAGTTGCAGATTTCTGTGAGATATCACAGGCTCAGATCCCACTAAGAGTTAATCAGGATGTGAGAGTCTAGAATTCCGAGAATTCTGCCTAGACATATAAATGTGGGAAACACAGTGTATGGAGGGTGTTTAAATCTGAAGGTTTAGGGTCTGGGGATTTAGCTCAGCGGCACAGCGCCTGCCTGGCAAGCATAGGGTCGTGAGTTCGATTCCCGGTACCGGAAATAAACCCAAAAAAATAAAATAAATCCCAAGGTTTAATAAATGGTGAATTTCCCTTGCTTGTGAAAACACTTCACACTACTTACATGACTAGTGTAAGAATTTGCTCCTTTACAATACTGGCAGTAGAGTACAACTGTAGAACCACACTTATTTTACTGCAAGATAGCCATTTAAAATGTATTTATGTCACCAAAGACCAGGAAAGTGAAATGCTACCCTTAGTGCCTGAAACAACCATTGTCTTGAGTTTATTTTTCAGAAAAATCCATATCTGGATGGTGTGACCAAATGTTCAACAGTGCCTGGTTGGCTGTGTTCTAATAGGTCAGGTGCAACTTAAGCCCCAAATGCCTTAGGGCAGCCATAAATTAGACTGAAGGTACTTGAGATAAGGCAGGAGAGCTTGTTGACCCCAGATTAGAATCAAGGGCAACAGAGAGGCCTGGAAATTGTAACCCTTGATGAAGCCTTGGACTAGAGACAAGCAGCATTTATTTTATGAGAATTTTGGTAACAAAAACAAGAAAGAAGATGCAGAGTCACGCTTTTCAAATTTGAGAATTTTTAAGAAATACAGGAATAGCTTCTTAAAATGCAAATACCTCCCAGGGAACCTGGTTAAGTTAACTCTGGGTTGGTGTTCAGGACTCTATTTCTAACAAATGATTCTGACTCTGCCTCTTTTTTTTGAGGCAAGGTTTTGCTCTGTAGTCAAGGCTGGCCTTGAACTCACTATGTAGCCTAGGCTGGCGTTGAACTCACAACGATCCTCCTGCTTCAGCTTCCCAAGCATTGAGATTACAGGTGTGCGCTACCACACCCAGCTAACAAACGATTCTGATACAGATGATCCATACATCACACATTGAGAACTACTGAGTCTGGAAAGACCTCTGAGACCGTCTAGTTAGCTCTCTTTTAGAAATGGGGAAACAAGCATGTGGAAAAGGTCTTGTCCAAAGTTGCAGAGCAAGTTGAAATGTCAGTGCAGTTTAACAGTTTACTTTTCACTCTTCCATCTAATGGGTAGATGGAAAGTCAGTCCTCCCTCCCACTTCTCAGGTTGCCTTCTTTCATTCTATTTTTGCTTTTTTTCCAAAGCACACATCACCTTCTAATGTGAGAATAATTTACTAATTTACTATGTTTATTATTGTGTCACCTCCATAAAATGAAAGCTTGTTTTGTTTCACTGAAGTATCCCATATGCCTCCAACAGTGCCTGACCCATAGTAGGAATTCAGTGAATATGTGACAAATGGATAGATGGAAAATATTTTGTGAAAGTGTAAGTTAATGGGCATTGTGGGAAAGTATCAGCCCTTAGGCGTTATTAGTACCAAATAAAGTAGAATTTTTTTTCATTTGTTTTCTTCTGCTTGAATCAGAGGTTTCAGGAACAGCTTGTTTATAGAAGACTAAACACTGTCTCAAAGTATCAATAGTAATAATAGTAATGTCAGCAATAGTAATGCCAGTGGTGGTAGCATTTATGGAATGGTTACTGTTTGCCAAATATACACTGTACGAAGTTCTGTGCTAATGATTAGCTCCTACCCAATATTTCATCTAAGTCTCATTATAGCCCAGAGGTGAGGAACTAGGATTGTCAGTTTTCCAGAGGAGGAAACTGAGGCTCAAGAGGTGGAATGGCTTTTTCAGGGATACACAGCCTATACAGATTTAGGACCCATGATCCTAACAATTGTTACCAGTAACAGTCAGTTTTAGGTTTGGGGTGTTCTGTCTTTGGAGAAGGAATTGAAAAATTTAGAGACTAGGCAGCATTGCTCTTTGGGGTGCCCATGGGCCAAAAACATCAATCTCCAAGGTGGTATAAAACCACAGGCTGGAAAAAACATGCATTTCTTTCAGCTCAACTTTCCAGCATTCCCCGTGCTCCCAAGTCTTTCCGTTCTCACATTACAGAGAGCCTTTCGTCTTGAACTGGTGGGCTTTTCTCACTTCTCAGACAGCCCCTCTGGAGCTGGCCAAGGAGAATTCCTGTGGTGACAGATCACGCTAAGGAATTTCTAGGGAGGGCACTGCAGCACTCATTCACACCCCACCTCCCAAGGAAGGGTGCAGGGATGGGGGCTCCTCCACCCACTTTCCATACACTTTGCCGTTGAGGCTTCAGGAAAGGCCTGAGGGAGGTGCTGGTTTATAAATGTGGGCATAATGGAGCTCTTGTGAGACTTGGATAGGCCTTCGAGTTCTGGATACACTGTACCTTTTAAACTGCTTAAGAGCAACGGAATGAAGTATCACAACCTGCTGTGGATAATGTGGGCATTCATTCTTACCCCCGGCCATGAAGACTGGTCATGCTTCACACATACGGCAGCAGATCTCATTTAATTTTTATAACAGACAAGATGAGGCATCATTGTCCCACTTCTGTGGCTGAGAAGGCCTCGAGAAATTGGGAACTTGCCAATCTCATGGCATTAGTGAGAGGCAAAGTCATGTATTAAATACAGGCTGAGTTCTGAGCTTTGTCTTTGCTAGTTCTTCTGTAGGGCTGGCTAAGAGCATGGAATCTGGAGCTATACTCCTTGGGTTTGAATCTTCTTTACTTTTTTTTGGTACCAGGGATCGAACTCAGGACCTTGCGCCTGCCAGGCAGGCACTTGTGCTGCTGAGCTGTATCCCCGGCACTGTTTGAATCTTGACTCTGCTACTAACTATCCGGGAGATTTGGAAAGATTACTTAGCCACCCTCCTCTTTGGCTTGTTCATCTGTAGCATGGGGTGAATAATGTACTCATATAATTTGTTATGAGGATTAAATGAATCAGTGTATGTAAAGCACTCAGCATCTGGCACATAAAAGGCATGTAAGTGCTAGCTGTTATTAATTTATATATCAAGTCATTTTTGTGTGATGGAAACTTAATCTCAGAAGTTTCAGGGTTTTTCTGACCACCCCCATCCCTCCACCTCTGCTGCCCAAAGGTTGTGTCCACATGCTTAAGCATCATATGTAGACGATTCATACATGGCGCTTAGAGCAGTATGTGGCATATCATTAGCTCCAGTAGATGTCAGTGGTGATGGGTATGATACTGCCAAGACACTGAGGGTGTGGGAAGGCAGGGATGAGGGAGAGCGTCCGACGCTCAGTTGGTACCATCCTCGGGGTGTAGCTCCAGAAAGAGCAGTAGGCACTGTGTAGGTGCTTCTCTCATGGATTAGGTAAGAACTGAGAGGCAGTCATTATTTTGTGTACAGCAAGTTACTATTAATGCTGTAACAATGAACATATATTTTATTAATTTAAAGGATAGAGAACATGGAAGTATTCAGCATTCCTGGTCAGGCCACATTAAATAATAAACGATTAGTACTTAGAACTTTTCCAGGGATAAATTGTCTCAGAACAGCTTTGTGATGTGCCATTTCTTGGAAGGATTGTCACCCTCCAACCACCACCACCCCACGCTTGGTCTGACCACAGCATCCTCCTGTCTCCCTTCCCTCTGGGAAGGCTAGGCTTTTCTGTTCTTCTGCCTTTGGTTTGTGCTTTTTTGTAAATGTGCATTTCACTTCTCTTCTAGCTTAAGAGTTGGACAGTGGAGGACCTTCAGGAGAGGCTCTTGGCTCTCGACCCCATGATGGAACAGGAGATTGAAGAGATCCGGCAGAAGTACCAGTCCAAGCGGCAGCCAATCCTGGATGCCATTGAGGCTAAGAAGAGACGGCAACAAAATTTCTGAGCGAGACTGGGCCCTGGGCTTTGGTGAATTCTGGATTGCTCGTCTCATGTTTGTCAGCCAGCACTTATGCTATGTCATTTGTCCACAGCACCTTTGTGAACTCAGGAATGTGCGCCAGTGGGAAGGGCTACCTAGACGGTCATTGTGCCATCTTGATGTGTGTACTTACATTGGCCAGGTATATTATTCCGAAGATCTATGTTGGCGCTTTTAACTCGAGTTTAAAACCCCAGAAACAGAGACTCTTAGTTGATAGCTGGGAAAATTTTACATTATCTTTTTGTTTTTCTTTTCCCAGTAGTTTTTGATTGTTCTTTCTGGAAAGATTTTTTAAAAATATATAAATATACATATTATATATATATAAATTATAAATAGATTCCCCACTCAGTGTGGTGGCATCTCTGTACAGGTACAGTTTTAATAGTTCGCCTCTTTTCTCTAAGATTATGGTACTGTGGAACATGGGGGCTGAGGACATCAGGAACCTGCTGGGGATCAGGTCACTGAATCCTGGGAGCCAACCTCACCCTGTGTAGGGCTGCATGTAAAAATTAGGCTTGGTTTCCACCATGGTTTCAGCCTTGTGTGTTCATCACTGGCTTTTGGAGCTGACAGTGATGCTCAGGACACCTGGAGACTTTGTGTTTGGTCTCTGAGTCCCAAGAGAAGCCTAGTACCCCTTTTGCAAATTGACCTTTACTGTTTCAGTGTCTTTCATCCATCTCCGTTCTCCCAGCTGCCTAAAGTCACATCACAGATGTTTCCCAGTGCCTTAAGAGGAGAGATGATCTGGTGAAGGGACAGGCCAGCCAGGAACTCTCAGCAAACACAGGGTTGTGTTCAGTCCACAAAAGGAAAAGGATTTTGAAGCTCTCGTTGTTCATGTGAAAAATTACACAAGTGGCGTTTTGCTCCACATTCCTTAGGGACGGGGGTACAGGGCATTGCTTTTTTAAAAAAAAATCCACATTCAAATATGTGACTCTTTTCTTTTTTCTTTTGCTGTTAAGAGGTCTGGAAGTAAAAATGAATATTCCAAGATGCTCAGTCTGAACATACAGAATGCCAGACTTAGAAGGGACCATAATAATCATAATGAGAAGGGGAGTGACATGGCCAATGTCACAGTCCAGGCTACAGCAGGAGCAGGGATTAGGACTCAGGGCTCCACTCTTGGGATACTGAACTGAGCAGCCCCTTCCCTGAGGAAAGAGATGTGTGCTTGGGTTAAGTTGTCCCAGGGATCCCAGCTGATAGAAAACTGTTCTTGCCTTGCTTCTTTTTAGGTGACCTGGCTATGAAAAGATTTCCCCAGAGAACAGCATCAGTGAGTCCGTGAGGTCTGCTGTGCCTACCCAATAGCAGACAAGCACACACAGACAGAGGTAGGGCCGGAAGCACAGCAGAGGGCTTTGCAAAAGATAGCAGGAAGCCATTTTCCTGCAGCTTGGCTCAGAGCCACACTCGGGTACACAGAAGAGAGACCACAATTGGAAAAGACAGATGTCTTTTTATTTCGTTCTAATATCTCTTCCTTCAGATAGGGGAGCCATGACGAGGTTGTACCAAACAATATTGTAATTTGACTCCACGGTTGCTTTTGCTCCCTAAACCCGAGAATCAATGGAAAGGCAGGGGTAGTTGTTCTTCTGTGATCATATTCTGTTCTTTATAATTAAAGCAAGTTTTTAAAAATGCAAAAGGTAGTTGGTCTTCAGGGCTCAGCCGGTGAAGTAGCTGTGTGGTAGACAAAGAAAATAGAGGGCAATTTGAGGATCTTGAGGGAATAATAAATGGCAGCATTTATTGACCACTAATATATGCCAAGCCCTGGGCTAGGTAGACTTCAAATTTCATAATAGTCCTGTGGGCTAAGTGTCTAATGTCCATTTCATAGGTAGGAAAATGGATTTGGAGAGAAGTGTTCCTTCCCAAGGCAATATAGCTAGTGAGTGGTAGAATCAGGGTTAGCATTACTCTATGGAACCATGTGCAGCCATGTCTAACTTGCAGCCCTCAGGCATAACAGATACAAAAAAAAGAAATTTTGTTACTTCTATATACCAACTATATTTTATATTTTTATGTGCTCTAAGACTCTTCACTCACTGTGGCCTAGGCAAGCCAGAATGTTAGACACTCCCAACAGAGAAAAAGGAAGTCACAAGTCTATTTAAAATGAAAAAATCATCTTTTCTTGCACAGATTAATTCTAAGTGGCATTTTTAGGTTGGAAAACAGCCGAATTAATAGGTCTGATAGCTAAGTAAGTTTTAAAAACTAAGCTTGCATACTCCACATCACTTTGCTGTGCCTTAGTCTCTTTTCTCTTTAAACAAAGGGACCAGAGAAGAAGGCCTTTTTCTTCTTTCCTGAGCACAGTCCAAGTAAAGCAAAGCTAAGTTTTTCTCCATGAATATTCTTAGGCTGTGGACCTTGATCTGGAGGTTATTTTGTTTTAAGCATATGTAAACCCAACAGTAGTGGTCCAGCAAGTCCACTGCTCATCAGTCTAGCTAGGCAGAGCCCTTTGGTCAGAAATAAAATTGTTTTGGATCAGATAAATTTCCTGGCAATATATATTTGCTTTCTAGTGACAGAAAGGCAGAAGAGCAACTCCTCTTCATTTTTTTCTTGAATACTAAATTCAAGATACTACAGTTTTCACTGAGCTTAAGCATGTGTCTCAAGCTTCCAGAGAACTCAGGCTTTCTGGACTTCCAAGAAACTGTGACCCATACCTATTGTATCTTTTTTAAAATCCCGTAGTCTCTAAAAAAATCTTAATTTCTCTCCCACTAGTAAACTTGAATCATCTTTCTATTTTTATTTCTTTTTATTCCTTTGCCCATCTAGCAGTTGGATGGATGAAAATTTGGCTGAAGGAGAAGGATGGATGGACCGAAGGATATGTAGCATGAATGAACTAATGATCCAGTATTCTGAAGTAATTTATGAACTGTAGACTTGACTCTTTGAAACTGTCGTTTCAAACTAGGAAACATTCATTGGCACCTATCAAGTGTCAGACATTTATTATACCATATAAAACTCAGTAGCCCAGTCTGGCATCAGAAATGAGAGTGATGACATCAATTTAGATCCTGTAGATGGTAAAAGGCTAATAACAGAATCTTATGAACAAGTTTCTGCTGATACATTCAATAATTTAAATGGAATAGACAAATTCCTGGAAAAATATGAAGTACCAAAACACACTCAAAGAGAAATAGATACTCCAAAGAGCCCTTGATCTACAGAAACTTAATAGCTTTGAGAGATACAAGTATTACTCTCCTCCTTTTGCAGGTGATGAAACTGAGGCTCAGAGAGGTAAAGCCTGTTGCTCAAGGCCATCTCACTATAATATAGGGGAGCCAGGATTTACAGCCAGGTTCTCTGGTCCTTATCCAGTGTCCTTTCTAACCTACCACGTTGCCTCTACAGATTGCAGCTCCTTATTTGTGGGGGAATTGTTCCTGCCCAATCCAGACTCCCCACTGCACCCTGTGCTTTCCTAGCACTAGGTTTATGTTTTATCAGGATTGCATTCATTGTCTTTGGAATCCATGTTCTTGTTTGTATTGGGCAAAAAACTCACCAGCTTGTACTGGGACCAACTTGGATTTAAAAATAAAAAGCTTAAATGCTGTTGTTAATGTACAATTTAAAATGTGAAGTTTGTAGCTTTAATTTTTTTGTAACAGAAACTAATAACACTGGCTTAAGTGCTGACGAGATGCTATTTTGTAAGGTTTGGATGTAAATAATCATTTGAGGTCAGCAGTTTGTATATGTATGAGACATAGGCTCCTCTGTTGCCTTTTATTTTCTTTTTTTAAAAAATTTGAGATGCTTCCTATATACTTTTATGTTAGATTTGTTGTTCTCCCTCCTCTTTCTTCCTACACCTTGTCAACCTTTGTTTTAAATAAACTGTCCGTTGGACCACAGATCTCCTGTCTTTAAAAATGAAGTCCTAAATACGTGCCTGCTTAATGGTGTGAACCTTTGTGACACTGACTGTATCTTGTGTGTATTCTAGGGTCCAAAGCTGGGACAGAGCTAGGTAAACTTTTGCTAGGCACCTGCTGTGTGCCAGGGACAAAGCTAGTTGTCAGCAATGTAAAGATACATGAGAGACAGTTCTTGTGGGGCACCTAGGGAGTCAGTCAAGCAGAAAAGCACACAACATGGGAAATACTGTGAGAGAAGGAAGCACACGGCTGGTGGACATGTAGAAGAATGAATGATAATCTGTGCTGCTGGGGCATGCAAGGATACTCTTGGAGGAGGTAGTATTATCCTGCAACTTGAAAAACAAGGAAGAGAAGACCAACGCTATAAAAAGTGGGAATTGAGGGAGAGAAAATATATTGAACAAAAGGTGCAGCCTGGACAAAGAGCCTGGAGTGGGAATCTAATGCAGGGTCGTCAGGAGCCTGACGTTGGAACCCACCATCCCTGTCTGCAGTTGCCCAAAGCCAGGCATGGCCCAGCACTCAGAGTGGAGCACCAGGGTCCTGCACTTGTATGGCTTATCCTTTTCCAGAAATAATTCCCCGGCCTGACCTGAATTCTCGTAGTCTTGAAAGTTTTCCCTGCAGCAGGAAGGAACAGAGTTACACTACACTAAAAAGTAAGTGTAGCTCTCTTCAGTCAAATTGCTCTGTAGTTTTTAATAATTCCGTAGCCCATCTGTGTAACTGTCATGCTGTTGCCAGGGGTAATGACAGATGTTCCCTATTGGTTAGGTTAAGAACCTATGACCAGAAGAAGCAGAGATGAAGTAAATTTACACATATTGGCACCTAGTCTATCACAGTTACAATGCAGAGCCTTTTAGGTTACTTCATTTTGTTGTGACAAACACTCAGGTGTGTAGTAGTACACCCTCCCTCTGTAGATGCGTGACTCTCGGGGTGCAGTACTGCCCACCGCATCTGTTCTGGAAATGCATGAGAATGTTTTGACAGACAACACTTGAGGCCCCTACCAGCATTTAGTGGGCAGGGGTAGGATTGCTGGTTGCTCTGCAGTGCATTCTGGGACAATTCTGCAAAACATCAAAGGTTATTTTGGTGAAAAACTTGTCAGAGACCAAACCAAATTTCATTTACAAAGTAAAATACTTGTATGAGATTTTACCATTAGTTTTTCTAAGAATAAATCATGTAGAAATGGACAGACTTATAGTGTCTTTTGTTTGGGGCTTTTCCAAGAGATGTTCTCCATTTCAGAAAATCACATCGTCAAAGACAGCAATGCTTACAGTTTTTGACTTACCATTGCAAGACAAACACCAAGCTTGGTTTAATTTGTAACTATTGTGTTCACAGAGATTATGTAACATGTAAGTGACAATTACAGGAATAAGTGATATAAAGGAATAAAATAGGGTAGTAGCATTTTCAGTAGTAGGGAATCAAACTCAGGACCTTGTGCTTGCCAGGCAGGCACTTGTGCTGAGCTGTATCCCTGGCCCACAGAATTGAGAATGGGTGTGTGTGGAGAGAGGGGGGAGGAGGGGAGGGGGAGGGAGAGGAGAAAGGGAGAGGGGGGAAAGAGAGGGAGAGAACTTTACATAGGGCAATCTGGACAGGCTCTGAAAGAGATGATGTTTCAAGGAAAAATAGAATGACAAGAAGGAGCCAGGCAGGAATAAGACCTGGAAGATGCACATTGCAGGCCGAGGGAACAGCAAAAGCAAAGGCACTGAGGCAAGGAAAAAAGAGTTGCTTTGGGAGGATGGAAGGATGGTTTCTTTGGCCGGAACAGCACTCTCGGGTAGGTGAAAACATGACTGTAAACAGCCTTATGGGTGTGGGTGTTACCCCTGATGAGATGGAGAAGCATCAGGATTTTCAGCAAGGAACTGGCATGCTTTGCTTTTTTGTCTATTTAAGACAAGGTTTCACTATGCAGTTCAGTCTGGCCTTGAACTCATTCTGTAGCCCAGGCTGACCTCGAACTTGCAGCAGTCCTCCTGCCTCAGCCTCCTGAGTATTGGGATTACAAGTGTGCGCCCCCATGCCAGGTGTGGCATGCTTTTCTGAAACAGAGCTCGATTTTAAACACCAGGAACATATAAATTAAAACTACAATGTACTGCCACTACACACTGACCATAACATAATTTACTGTAATAGCTAAAATGGAAGTGATGGGAATTTTAAGTGCTGGTGAAGATGTGGTGCAACTGAACTCTCCAATATTGATGAGTATACATAAGACCCAGTATTTCCTCAACAGAGATGTATACATATTTTTATAAAAAGACATATATTAGAATATTCACAGCAGCATTATTCATCATTTTGCCAAACTAGAAACCACACAGATGCCCAATGGTAGTACAATGGATAAATAAATTACATGAATTCATATAGTAGAATACAGCACTGAGAACTGAAGTGAAGGTTAACCAAATGGGAAGGTCAAAGACTATCTGGAGCCTGCTCTCTCAAGGAAGTCAGCACTATTAATTTGCACTTGGGCAGGCGGAGGAGTGGAAAAGCTCTATAGTGAAGAAAATGCAAGTCTGCAAGTGTGCCCTCACTGGAAGCTGTTGGCACAGGAAAGCGGGAGGCAAGCTAACTAGCTCCAGGACTTCCTACGTGATTGGTACATTCTGTGTTCTTTTGTTGGTTCTAAATGAGAAGTAGGGACAAAAATTTAGAAAGCTATCAATTATTAATGAAATCCTGGCCATTCTGGACCAATTGTTACAGAAGTTGTTATTTTGCTCGCTCAACTGTCACTAGAGCTAGCAATCTGGCTTCCTGCAAGTCTGACCAATAGCAACCTGGCCTCCTGGGATATTTATTATGGCTATGGGGTTGGTTTACTGGGCAGGTTGGTTTACTGGGCAGGTTGCTGCAGGTTGTGGGTCAAAGTTCAGCTTTTGTATGTGGGCTGGCCATTGCTTGTACATTTTCTTGCTACATACATCAGTATGGTTGAGTCAAATGTCAGAATGAAGCCAGATATTGATGGATGAGTGAATAAAATACGATCTATATATATGGTGGAATATTATTCAGTTCTTAAAAGGAGCATTCTGACACATGCTATAACATGGATAAACCTTGAAGACATATGCTACTAGTTAAATAAGCCAAATGCAAAAGGACAAATATATATGACTCTACTTATATAGGACACGTACAGTAGTCAAGTAGAATGTAGAATGATGGTTGCCAACGACAGGGAGAAATGGGGAATTAGTGTTTAATAGGTAGAGTGTCAGTTCGGGAAGATATAAAAGTTCTAGAGATGGGTGATTGTGATGGTTGAACCATAATGTGAATGTACATAATGCTACTGAAGGGTACACTTACAGGGATTCACTGAAGACGTTCCTATCTTACCACAATAAAAAAAAAAAAAAAAGCCAGAGACACAAAAAGAATATTTAATGTATAAATCTATTTATATAAAATTCAAAACCAAGGCAAGCTAATGGATGTCTAAGCTCAGGAACTCACCTCTGGAGGCTGAGAAGTAGAGACTGGATGGGAGAAGGAGGGCTTCTTGGGTGGTCGTCAAGTTCCAATTCTTTATTTGGTTGTTCATTACATGGAGATGCTCACAGTGAGAAAATTCACTGAGGTGATCTATTAGAGTCTTTTTCTCCTGTGTGTATTTTATACTTGAATAAACAAAGACGATCTACTCCAATGGATTCTTTTTGCAAGCTTCTGAGGTCATGGACAGGAAACTACCCAGCCATGTACAAATATAATGGGTGGTTCCCCTTCGTGCACTAGCTTTTATCTCAGCATCTTGCTTTGGTGAATGATCAACCGAGGCCAAAGGTTTGGCGGTGTCAAGTCCAGACTCAAACCCCGGCGTTCATTCTGCAGCCTCAAGTACAGGAGCGAGTCTGCTTTGCAATCCGGAGAGAAGCAAACTGCAACCTGTACTCAGAGTTGCTTTACCTCTCTGAGGAAAATAAGACCACTGGAGGAAGATGCTGATTTCTTTCCTTCCTGTGTATTTTTTGGTTTAACCTTTAGCATTTATAGTTCCAGGCACACCACACTTGAACTTGACATTAACACTCAAAGACAGGTGCAGCAACAGGTTCAAAGGGGCAAAGAACCCCAACCGACATCACACTCAAGTACCAGAGGTTCGAGCCCAAGTCCATCTGCCCTCAACCATATTCTTTCTCTACCCTACACGGCATCCCTATGTTCTCCCATCAAATAATTTTTAATAAACCTCCTTGAGAATGAAGCCAACACGGGAGAGGCAGAGCAGAGGGAGAAGGGGAAGAGACGATGACCTCCACTGAACCTCTGGACCCCCGTATATTTAAGCCTTTTTGTTGAGTTTCTGTCAAGTCTGACTTCAAAGCTGAGCTGTGCGCAATCGCCTCCTCTCCTTGGATTTCCTGAGGGTTCTGTGAACCCAGGCCTTCTGGACAAGGCCTTGCCACTGGCAAACATCAGTCTACATCGGTCCTGTCCTTCTCTTCCTATCAAACAGGACTCTGAAAATCGCCCTTTCTTCTCAAAGGTTACTAAGCTTCCTAGAGAATGTTCCCCTCTTCAGTCGCAAAGCCCAGCTGGCCTGGAATATGAAGTTTGTGACCTCAGAATAGGACCTAGATTTAGAGCCACTTGCTTCAATGGTCCCCAAGGAGGTGTTTGCCAAACAAAGTGACGGGAGTGATAATGGTGGGAGAAAAGGAGTATAACCCAGTGTCAGGAAGCCTAAGTTTGAATCCCTGATCCACTACTTTTTAACTGTCTAACTGTGGGCCTTAGTTCTCTCAACGCTTCAATAATGGTGATACTATTTTATTATTGTTGCTATTGTCTTACGAGGTTGGTGTAAGGGGAGTATATGAAACGGTGAACGTGAAACACTTTGTAAATTAGAGTGCCACAGTGCCACAAGTGGAGGGTGGCTATTATTTACTGGGCTCTCTTCACTCTTGGGAGCCTCAAAAAGTATCTTAAGAGTCAAAACGATTCTCTTCCACACCTATTTTCCAATGTGAACATCCTGCTGCTCTTATGTGAGCTAAAAAATTCTCACCCAAAGTTACTCAGGAATGGTGCCAGCTTCTTGTGTGACTTGAACTTCTCTGGATCTGTTTTCAGATCTGCAGTATGGGGCTGAGGAAGAGCAGGTTTTATAGCAGATCACAAATAATACTGTGTTTCCCCCGCCAGGAGAGTCCCCACCCCAGGTCACAGCAAATAGAACCTATCAAAGTGTCTCCACTGTTAACGACAAGCATATCACATTCCAGAGCCCTAGACATCCTGATTTGTATGCTTCAAGGCCAGGGCCCCAATTATTTCTGAAAGTTTCGGACATCTCTCCATTTTACAGAAAATGAAACTGAGGCCCAAGAGGATGAGATTGCAAGGGATAATTGTAGATCTATCCAGGACTCCCTTTCCCTTCCTGGCACTGCTTGACTCTCACACCAACTATGGATCCACATGACAGCTGCCAAGTTCTTACCAACTCAAGCTCCACACCAACCCCTTCCAGTGATCCAGTCATCTTGCCAGAGCTGGGCCAATCATTCATTTTTTTTTTTCCAAACTGGAAGTGGGAAAGAATTCTATAGGGGAGGTGCTAAAGAGGTGCAACTGGAAGATATTAGTAACCCCATCTACCATGTGGTGCAAACATTAATCTTTCCGTCTCTGTCCTCCTTTGTTCTTGGTTTCTGTTGAACTCATCCACCAAGCTGCCATTCTCACCCAAGTCGTATTGTAAAAGGTATGTATTGGTTTTGCCTCCCCAGCACCTTCTTCTCATTCTTTTTTTTTTTTTTTTTTTTTTTTTTTTTTTTGGTACTGGGAATTGAACTCATGACCTTGCGCTTTCCAGGGAGGCGCTTGTGCCACTGAGCTATATCCCCAGCCCCACTTCTGCTCACTCAAATGAAAGCATTTCACTTTTCCTTAGGGAATTACACTCTGCCATCAGTGTTTGGGCAGCACTGTGATAGCTCCTCTCATCCCTCCCTCAAGTATTTAGCTTTAGCAGAGTGATACACAGGGGTAAGTACTGCTCAGGTATTTTAATAATAGTATCCTAAAGAGATGATTCATTGATTCTAACTACAGTACTTCAATCTCTATGTTGCCGTCATTCCTTTTTCAAAGTTTGTTTAATTTTATTTTGATCCTTTCCTGTATCTACTCAGTGAAGTTATTTTGCTGTTTGTAACCAAACCTTCTTCCTAACATCAGACACTAGAACTAGAGTTGCAGGAAATACATCCTCCATGAAATGTGGGGCATTCAAAATTACTGGGTTGTGATGGGGCAAAACACAGTGAGGTTGTTCCTCATGCTCTTGGAGATAAGCAGACTGGGATGCGATGAGAAGGAATTACTTCTTGCATTATTTGGCATCATTTGAACGTTGAGGGTGTGGTTCTTAGAGAGAAGATAACATCTATCACAGTTCACTGTTAAGGAATCAAGGAATGCTGGCTTGTGTGATAGAATGTTTGTGACTACCTAGAATAATACTGTAATTGTGACTTTTGGAGGCATTTTTTGCCTCCAAAGTTTGTGTATTTGTAGAGAATACGAGTATTTGGCCACAGTGAAAGAATCATTTATGACTTGCTGTAGGGCTGAGTTCTTCAAATACCAAAATTGGCTACTGATTATGCAAGTGACTAAATCTACCGCCTCACACTGCTTTTATGGAAGTTAGTCATGGATAGAGCGGGATTCTGATGATGAATGGCTGTATGAGAGGATGCAGAAAAAAATCAAGGCTCTCTAAAACACTGGTGCAAGCAGCTCACAACTTTTCTTACACGCAAATGTAAACAACTTTCTGCTTGCCCCACTTTTCAAGGCTGCTTAGCTAGAAGGGAAAGACCAGTTTGGCTTGGAGGGTGAAAAATAAAATGCGCAGGAGGGAATCTTGGGCCCATCTAGAACTGCAGAAACTTGTTAATTGATACCATCAGAAATCTGACGAGTATTTTTGTAGGGCTGGATTTTTGTGGTGTTTGATCAAGCGGGGAGAAATAAAATTTTGGATCCGGCTGATCTGCATGATATGGATGCAGTTAGGAGAGAGCCTGCTTTCTCTGTGCTCGCTCCAGGGGCTGGCTGGGCTCTTGCAATGTGATGCACTGGCTAATGCCAATTTGAACCAAATGCTGGCCCATGTGAAATGGAACTTACAGGCCCAAATCCTTTGGCATCAAGCAGAGGAAGTGAATAAAAGATTTCTAAAGACAGGATGCTAGACTGGATCTGTTTTGTGCCTCCTGACCACAAATACCTCTCTGGCCTCCAGTGAACCCAACACAAATTTCACCCTTGTTTTGAAGAAAGCTAAGGTCAGGAGTGCTGGGTAGAGGAGCTGTGATTTGAAATGAGTTTGCTGAGATTAGAGGGGAGGAAGGGAACACAGATGCAGGAGGTCAGGTGCTAGTACTTCATCCTCAGAAGTGGATGTGGTCATCATGGCATTTAGCAGGCTCTGAATGAGGCAAAAGCTCATGGTATAGGGTGGCCCTAAAGGTTAAATCAAAAGCAACCCACTAGAGTCTTCCTTGTTTGTATAACCAATAAAACTTACGAAAAAACAAAATGGAGAAAAAACCCTGAAACACTCTTGCTCTAGCAAAAAGTCCTGACTTGAGCCACTGTGAGGGTTACAGATCATCACTGGAAGCACAGGCTTGAGTTAGTTTACTGACCTGAAGCCCTCTGCTTGAAGGATATTCTCCTTGCCCTTGGGGAAGGAATCCGCGAGCATGAAGGGATGTTATAAATGCTAGTCGCAGTCTTGTGACCATAATGGGAATGGGGTGTGATGCCAAAGGCAGAGAGACTGGAGTAACGCAGCCCAGGAGGCTCAAGGAACGCCAAGAGGCAGAGAGGCACAGAGGAGACTATCCCCTGCAGCTCCTAGAGGCAGTGTGGCTCTGCCAACACCTTGATTTTGGATCTCTGGCCTACAGAACTGTAAGAGAATAAATTTCTGCTGTTTTAAGCCGCATAGTCTGTGGTAATTTGTTATGGCAGCCACTGGAAATGAATACACCTTCCAGTAAACTTGTTTTTTGCTTAAGCTAGTCAGTTTCTGTTGCTTGCAACCAACAAGTATTAATTGTAACAGTTATTCATCACTTTCATCATTTAATCTAATTAACTACTCTTTTTTCCAAATTAGGAGTTGAACCCAGGGCCTTCACTCTTAGCTATATTCCCAGCACTTTTATTTTATACCTTTTTGAGACAGGGATTTACTAAGTCACTAAGTTGCCCAGGCAGGCCTCGAACTTGAAATCCCCCTGCCTGAGTTACCCTTTGTGGCCACGTTTGTTCCAATTAGATTCCGTGCAACCTGCTCTGGCTGGCATTACCACAGAGAAAATCTATGCCAAATCCAAGGCTGGAACAAGACACTGTGGATTCCACGTCACTCCACATACTGCCCACCCATCCCAGTCACTCAGAGAATACATCAGAAAACCAGTTCTTTGAAGGTCTTGAGGCACAGCTTTTTATTTGCATAATTTGCATAATGGTTTCACTGATACACTGGAATGGGGGTGACTTGTTGCATTTCTTTCAGGGCCATGCACAACCTTGTGGCGGTGGACTCAGACGAGAGCATTTCCCCCTATTGCCGCACCAACTCTGGGGTCCCAAACCATCTGGCTTCTTCATGTGTTAGGTAACACCATGGGAGTGAGGCACGCACACCTGGAATGTCTGCCCCAAAGCTGGGCACAGCGGGGCCCAGACATTAAGAGGTGAGTGTGTTAAGTCCCTGAGAGTCCCTTTGGCTTAGTTCCTGCTGCTGCTCCAATCTGGAGTCTTGCAATCTACAAGCACGTTGGGGGAACCACTATATGGTAGAAGTAGTGGCGAACCTATGGCACGCATGCTGCAGTAGGCTGTGTGTTATCACTGAAAGCTCTAAAAGGTTGGCTATCACCATACTAGGCCCTGTGAAACACAAGATTTTCACATGTACTTCTGCTGATGCTGGGAACAGTCCTCCCTGGAACCCCTTTTTGCCCACTTAGGTATTTGTCTTTATGATGTCACTTGCTCAGAAAAGTGGTCTCTGAGCCTCTCAGGGAATGGTCCCTGGTACATTATACATGCTGATAGTTAGCTCCTTGCACTTAGTAGAGCTCACTATCGTATGTACCTGTGATTCCTGCATTAAAGTCTATCTTTCCTACTAGTCTGCATAGCTTAAACGACTATAGGGATATATATTTTGTCCATGGTATTTTTTAAAGCTAGTAAGCTGTCAAGAAATCAGAGGCTGAGTGATAAAATAAATCTGTGACACTGGTTGTAAACATGGTAGCAGCAGCATGTGTGTATATGTGTGGATGGGATTGGGGAGGGGTGGTATGGGGAACTGGAGACTGCGTGCCTCACTCAAAGGCAGGCCCAGTTTAAAAGTATACTAAAATTACTGTTCAGCTGAGCAAAACATGTTTGCAGACCACACGTGAAGCCCCACCTTACGACCTTTCCAACAGATATTTCCTGAGTGAGTGAGTGAAGAACCGACAAGGGAACCACTGTAAAAGCTCAAAAACCAAGCAGGGCCAGGGGAGGCAGAGGACTTGTTCCATTTCTCTCTGGGAATTTATTCTTCCACTCCAGCGCTTGGCACACAATAGACTATAGCAATTGGTCAATCTACTCAAAATGTACTAAATACCTACTTTGCTCCAAGCATGAGGGTCAGCCCGATAATGTCTTCCATTTCGAGGCTCAGTGTGATGGGACAAGCAAAGCCACATCTGTTTACAATGATACTGGTCACGGATGCTCTAGCCGTGGTTTGTGGAAAGGTCCAATGGGGACCCTTCCTGACTTTTGCAGCACATGGACTTCGGTAGGGAGTACTAAAGATTTACTGGCAGCAAGGATGACAGGGCCAGAGCTAGCCAAAAGGGATAGGAGTCTCCAGCGTTTGCCTGGACGGTTACTCAAGACAGGGCTGGTGTCTGTGCAGTGGGTAGAAGGGAATTTCCAGAAGCGGGCACATGCATTACAGCCCCTGCCACTAGCATTTCAGAGCTGAGCGGCCTTTAAGTCAGTGCCTCCTCTGCCCCATGTGGCTTTTTCACCTCCCTCTGGAGCAGAGATTATGACTATTTGGCAGGTGGGCTGAGGTCTGGAGGTGGCTGCTTCACACAGGCAGACCAAGAGGTGAGTATGGACCTTAGGCCAAGGCTCTTTGAGATTTTCAGTATCTCAACTCAGCCTTAGGGTGAAGGTGCAGATTATTGCTCAAGAAAGTTTGCACATGAACTAAGGAGGCAGCTCCCTTTTCCATCCTCCCAGGACTCATCTTTGACTCCTTCCAAAAGTTCCTAGAACAGAACTAGAGCTGAGGTCCAGAGCGCCTATGTTCGAATCCTTTCTGCTCCTCTCCCTCACTCTGTCAGAGGTTCTCATTCCATGGATGAGGTTGGTGGATCCATGAACTTCTACAACCACATGCAAACTGTATGAAGGTAGGAGAGAGAAAGAGTGGATGGAACATATCTTGGCAAACCACAGCCATGGATTCCAGACCTGACTCTACCACTTCTTGTCCTGAGACATTTGGGAGACTCATTGTTTCAGAGCTTCAGTTTCCACATCTGTGAATTGGGTATAATTCTTTTTTTTTTTCTCTTAGGATTGGGGGTATATATACTAAACAAGCACTCTGCCACTGAATGCACCCCCAGTCCTTTTTACAAATTTGATTTAAGACAGGGTCTCATTAAGTTTCCCAGGCTTGCTTTGAACTTGCAGCCCTATTTCAGCTCTCCAACAGTTGGATTACAGGTGTGTGCCATTACGCCTGGCTTGAAATGGCAGATGATTCTCCTCTTCCAACACATGGCCAAATATGGCCAATATATAGAAGGTGCCCAGAATCGTCAGCATCCTTCTTCTTTCTCCCTCTGGCTCATGTCTGCTTCCTGGGTAGCTAGGAGGCTGGTTAATAAAAATGTCTGAGGGGGCTGGGGATTTAGCTCAGCGGCACAGCGCCTGCCTGGCAAGCGCAAGGTCGTGAGTTCCATTCCTGGTACCGGAAAAAAGCCAAAAATAAAAAAATAAAACAAAAGTGTCTGAGTTGCTCTGTGGACTCATAGAACACAGGGCAGCACTCGCTGCTCTGGGCCATTGGAGGAAGGTGTGCGGCCCCTGGGTCTCATTTCTTGGGCCAGTGCGAGTGGTCCCAAGAGGCCCACTCCCACGAGAGCTTAAGCGGGGGAGGAATCTGCTCTGTTTCAGCTGACTTGGGAAGAAAGGGGATGCAGAGACCTAGTTTTAATAACTCTGAGCATCTGGAGGGTCCCCCTGGGCCTGAGTCTCCAGGTCTACAGACCGTCCCTCCTGAGAGGTGTCTCGGGATGTCTCCAGAGATGCCTCTGACACTCCGTCAACGCTGCTCAGCAAGTCCTCAAACTCTCGGTGGCCGCTGTTGCGCACGGCCGCTTCCAGAGCCTTCTGGCGCCGGTAGAAATGGGAGAACTTGTTGAAGATGATGGTGATGGGGAGTGCCACCACCAGAATGCCCCCCAGGATGCAGCCGGAGGCCGCCAGCTTGCCCGCCACTGTCTCTGGCACCACATCCCCGTAGCCCACAGTGGTCATGCTCACAGTGCCCCACCACCAGCAGGCTGGGATGGTGTGAAAACCTATGTTCTGCTCTTCAGCTGTGTAAGCCACACCGGAGAACACCGACACACCCACGGCCAGGTACAGCAGTAAGATGCCCACCTCGCGGTAGCTGTGCTGGAAGAAAAGGTAGGAACCCAAGTCACAGGAAGGCGGGATTACAGAACCGGTAGCAGGCATATGGGGAATCTGAGGGACAAAGAGTATAACAGATAGGTCCAAAGTCACACAGAAAAATAGAGCTGATACCAAGACTCAGGTGCCCTGGCTCCAAACTACGATCTTCCAACTACAGCAGATAACGAAAGTCCCTGGGATCGAACACAGGCCTAATCCTGTTGTCCGGCATGCCTGCTAGGCCACAGCTGTTTCCTCTTAGGGAGCCCGGTAGCATCAGGCAGTGACGGAAAAGCCTGTGATTTCTGTACTGCTACAGAACCATGAGAACCATAGTCCACATTTCATAATTCAAAGAGCTGGTTTCACGTCCTTTTTGATTGGTCTGTCACATTTCTAACAAGACAAACCTATTTTCTGCCTTTCAAGGTAGTTGAGAAGGTTTGACCTCCCTAGACCACCCCTAGAATGCATACTTTATGGGTGCACATAGTGCTTTGCTCCTGAGGCTAAGCTCCAGGGAAGTGGTTCTCAAATAGGGAAGTTTTGCTATCCTGGCGATATCTGGCAATGTTCAGAGACATTTTAGGTTGTCACAGCTGGTATAATGTGCTACTGGTATCTAGTGGGTAGATACTGGGGATATGCTGTAACACCCTACAGTGTAAAAGACAGGCCCGCGACTAAGAATGATCTGGCCCCAAATGTCAATAGTGCCAGGCTGTGAACCTCTAGTCTCTCAAACTATAATATGTGCAGGAATCACACAGGGATCTTGCTTAAAAGGCAGGTCCCAATCAAGTAGGTCTGGGGCAGGGCCAGAGAGCCTGGCTTTCTAGAAGCTTCCAGATGTTGAGAAAGCCGTTGCTGGTCTGGGCTTCATTTTGATTGGCAAGGCTCTTTGTATCACACCAGTATCTTGAGCCTGACAGCTCTGGTCATTACTCTTCTTCCTCCCTGCAGACAAGGCTAGTGCTGCAGCCTCAAGCCCAGATTCTCTGCATGGTGGAGGCAAGGCAGATTCTGGGACAGAAGGGTCTTCCCGGGAGAGATGCTGAACTCCAGGGATCTGGCTAACAGAATTCTCTGTACCTGCTCAGTGCTTAAGATTCTGCACAGTGCTTAAGATCTGCTGGCACCCAATATCCTGGCTACTTGCCCAAAGGGCATTCAGTAAGCTTTACTAAAGGGTAAAGGGGTCTTTAGGTACCTTCTGGGGACCCTCTGTGGGCTGCATGGAGCTTTCGGAGAAAAACCATGAAATGTCAGGCTCTACCACTTACTGAAAACCTCTGACATGTCCTGCCACTTCTGGAACCTCAGTCCCTACACCAGCAAAGAAATGGTAATACTTGCCTCTGCTTAAACCTTTCACTGGCTCCCCCATGCACTGGGATAAAGTGAAACACTGTGAGCCCAGAGTTCATGCCCTTCAGCACCCTGACCCAGGCACCTCTTCGACCTCATTTCTTGGCATCTCCTTCCCTCCGTGTCCTCGAGCCAGCACTCAACCTGTTCTCCTAGCAGGCCTTGGTACAAGCTGTTCACATTGCCTCCCTCTCCAAGCCAGTGTAATTTCATCCCCTGGGCAGGGCCTGGCACAAAGATGATGCTCAATAAATTGCAACTAGATTTTAAAAACCCAGCTCTCCAACCTCAGGATGCTCATCTACGGGAAGAAAATAAATAATAGCACCTTCCTGAGGATGTTGTCTTAAGGACCGAATCGATAATGCATGTGAAAATGGCACAGAATTCTCGGCTCAGGGTTAGCTCCAGGGCTATTCCTAGACTTAGCCTATTAAGAGTGACCCGTGGCTATCTGTGCCCTCTGATAAAGCCAAAAGAAAGGCATTAACGGAGGAGCAAATTAGCATCTTGCTTTGTATATTTTTTTCTTTGTAAAATGTTGTGCTATGTATTACTTGATGTTCGATAGGGATATCAAAAGTGATTTAAACAACAACAACAACAAGAAGTAATCTTCTCCTTGTGAAATAGAGGTAACATTAAGCCCTTTTTACAAGAGCTTCAGGAAGGTCAGGTTGGATGTGAAATATATACCTGGCCTCTGTGACTGGCCCAGACGGCATACAGTTCAGTGGATGTGGCAGGCTTACAGATCCACTTGCTAACCTTCCTGGGACCTACACCCGCCCCTGCCCACTGCAACCCAGCCTCAGACTCCCTACCTTGAGCGTGGCACCCAGAGAGCGCAGTCCCGTAGAGTGGCGCGCCAACTTGAGCACACGGAAGATTCGCATGAGGCGGAACACCTGCACCACCTTGCCCAGGTCGCCGAGCTCCTCGCCGCTCCCGCCGTCCCGGTCACCCAACGCCGCGCCCGCCAACAGCGTGAGATAGAAGGGTAACACGGACACAATGTCGATGAGGTTGAGCGGGTGGCAGAAGAAGTTGCGCGTGCTGGGTGCCAGCAGGAGGCGCGACGACACCTCGAAGCTAAACCAGGCGATGCAGAAGTACTCGAGGCGTCGCAGCACCGGGTCGTCGCGCGCATCGTCGGCCCTGCGGCCCGCGGCCACCGCAGCTACAGCGGCCGCCGCTTCGCGGGCCTGGTACTCCGGCAGGCTGTGGATGCACATGGCAGCGATAGAGGCGAGCACCACGCCGATGGAGACGCAGCTGAAAAGCTTGCTGGGCAGCGAGTAGCCGGGGTTCTCCATGGTGAGCCAGAGGCGGCGGCGCAGGCGGCCGCAGCGCGCAGCCCCATAGCGCGCCAGCTCGCGCTGCACGTCTGAGATCTCGTCGGGGCACGGGTCCACGCTGCTCGGCGTGTCGCTGTCCTCGTCCCAGGCACGCGGCCGCGCCACGCGCCGCTCCAGGTAGCGCGCGCGGCAGCACGCGGCCAGCGCGCTCTCGCCCAGGCCCCAGTAGTCGGCCTCCTGGCAGAAGGCGAAGACGCACAGCTCGTCGAGGACGTGCAGGCGGCCGGTGCGGTAGAAATGCAGCAGGCCCAGGAAGAAGCCCGGGTGCCGGTCGAAGTAGAACTCGCGCGCCGCCGCGTCGTAGTCGTCGCACAGGCGCCGCGCCTGCTCCTCCGACGCCGCGGC